AGCTGGATGGGAAGAGGGGCCGCCTGGATTAGAACCAGCGCCCATATGGGATACCGGGCATGCAAGGCGAGGACCTTAACCACTGTGCCACCGCTCCGGGCCCTAGACTGATCACTCTTAATGCTAAGCTTAGATAAATCTTAGCTCTTGAAGTCGAGCTGTGATATTATTTGGCATGGACAAAGCTAACTTAATTTGAAAAGAGCGAAGAGTAAAGCTAAATCACAAGTAAAATTCCATTTGATGAACACAGCAGGGTGTCAGAATAGCTTATTAAATCCAAATTATATTTTTAAAGTAATGTGTTGATATAGTTGTGTCTTAAATCTAAGCAACAGGGCAAACAGCGTCTGCAAATGGAAACTATACAAATAGGCTATTGTATTTTTTTCCCCTTGCATTGGTAGAAAATCTCCTATGGGGAAAGACAAATTAGAAAATTAATTTTTTAAAATTATTTATATTAGGACACAGCGCGATAGTGTAGTGGTTTAAGTCCTCACCTTAAACACCCCGGAATCCCATGTAGGCTCCGGTTCTAATCCTGGCAGCCCCGCTTCCCATCCAGCTCTCTGCCTGTGGCCTGCGAGGCAGTTGAGGACGGCCCAAAGCTTTGGGACCCTGCACCCACGTGCAACACCTGAAGGAAGAGGCTCCTGGCTCCTGGCTTAGGCTTGGCTCAGCTCCAGCTGTGATGGCCGCTTGGGGAGTGAATTAGGGAACGGAAGATCTTCCTCTCTGTCTCTCCTTCTCTGTATTTATGCCTTTCCAATAAAAATAAATAATCAGAAGATCTTCCATCTAATGACGATTTATTTATTTTAATTAGAGAGTCAGATATACAAAGAGGAGGAGAGACAGAGAGGAAGTTCTTCCGTCCCCTAATTCACTCTCTAAGTGGCCCGCAATGGCTGGAGTTGAACTGTTAAACTTGAATAAAATTAAGATTTTTAAATTATTTATTTATTTTTGCAGATTTTTATTATTATTATCATTTATGATACAGTTCCATAGGTTCCTGGTATTTCCCTTATCCCAGCCTCAATTCCACCCCCCACCTAGTTCCTCTATATCATTACTTTTTTTTTTTTAAGATTTATTTTTATTATTTTTTCATTGGAAAGGCGGATGTACAGAGAGGAGAGACAGAGAGGAAGATCTTCCGTCCGATGATTCACTCCCCAAGTGAGCGCAACGGGCTGATACTATGCCGATCCGAAGCCAGGAGCCTCTTCCGGGTCTCCCACGCGGGTGCAGGTTCCCAAAGCCTTGGGCCGTCCTCGACTGCTCTCCCGGGCCACAAGCAGGGAGCTGGAAGGGAAGCGGGGCTGCCGGGATTAGAACCAGCGCCCATATGGGATCCCGGGCGTGCAAGGCAAGGACCTTTAACCACTTGCGCCACCGCGCCGGGCCCCTCTATATCATTACTAAAGTATAGTTCTTCATACACAGTCATATGTCCATCATTACTGGCATGGACAATGGCAGAGAGTCCAGCATCTTATTGTCAAGATAGAGTAAAAATGCATACTGCATTGTATTCTCATGTCTGGATATGTTAGTCTCCATTTCACAGCTACTCTACAGCCCCTCAAATAAAAATTCATAAAACAAAATCAACAATAGAAAGAAAAATAGAAATTTACAATGCCATGAAGTTAAATAACATGCTACTAAATTATTAACGTGTAGCTGAAGAAATGAAAATCAAGAACCTTCTTGCAGAAAATGATGCTACTGTATGATGTATGAGTCATTGAAGAATTTAAACAGAAGAAAGTGTTTTGAAGAGATGAAATTAACATAAAACATCAAAACCCATGCAGTATAAATTCCGCTAGGCCCAAAAATTAAGATTCTTAAGAAAGTATTGCTAAATTTATTTTGACACTGAGACCTTCCCCCCCATACACATTTTTTATACTTTCTTTTTTAAAGGGTTTTAAAATTTTTTAGATGTTCTTTTTTTTTTCCTTTGAGACTTACTTATTTTTATTGAAAGATTTACAGATAGGAGAGACAGAGACAAAGGTGTTGCATCTGCTGGTTCACTCCCCAAGTGGCCATTAACAGCTAGAGCTGAGCCAATACAAAGCCAGGAGCTTCTTCCAGTCTCCCACAGAGGTGCAGGGTCCCAGGGTTTTGAGCTGTTCCTGACTGCTTTTCTAGCCCACAAGCAGGGAACAGAATGGGAAGTGGAGCAGCTGGGACACGAACTGGTGCCCAGATGGGATTCTGGCACATGCAAGACGAGGACTTTAGCTGCTAGGCTACCCACATGGGGCCCTATACTTTATATTATGTCCTTAAAGCACACATTGGATACAGTAGTACAAATAGTGAACTGAAATGATGGGTTGAATGATACTCTGGGTAAGGGATTTACACTAAATTTGGGGATGTGATGTGTAATATTTGAAATATTAAAGTTATTCCTTTGTATTGGAATGTTGATTTGAAATGTGTATTGTGAAAGAAGCTATAAATGAAACTATAAATAATTTTCAGATTTTGTGCTGTTAATATAGGCTAAATACAAAGATGAGAGGGTTAAAGACCTATAAATGGGCCTCCAATTAGGATGGAGATTGGGAGAGAGAGGTGGGTAAAATAAATGTTTTATTTTTTACCCTTTGTCTTCCATGGAGAAGATGCATAGCTGCTTGAAAACAACTCATCTTTAAAATCTTTTTCATGTGTTGCATGTATTTCTACTATCTGCTCATTCATTCCACAAATGTCCACAACAACTGTGAATGGCCCAGGCTGATGCCACATTTCCAAGAATAATCACATTCTCCCACAAGGTTTGCAGAGACCCAGGTTATTATTATTATTTTAAGATTTTTTTTTTATTTGAAAGGCAGATTCACAGAGAGAAAGAGATGTTCCATCCGTTTCTTCCCTCTGCATATGTCCACAAGAATCAAAGCTGAGCTGATCCAAAGCCAGGAGCCTCTTTGGGTTCTCACACTTGTTGAGTTCAGCAGCCAAGGGATTTGATTCCTCTCCTGCTTTCTCAGGCCATAAGCAAAGAGCTGGATGGGAAGTGTAACAGCTAGGACGCAAACTGACACCCATATGGGAGACTTTGTTATGTCATGCTGTTGTCTTTTTATAGTTTTAAACTATAGTGGAAAACCTAGTCTTTTTATGAAGCTGTTTTTTATCTCAAAGACCAAGCCCATGGGGAAAGGAGCATAGTATGATGAGCTGCCCTGTTTTGTTTTTTTCAGGCTTACCAAAATTTATATGCTCTTAATATTAAAACAGCTGAGAAGTTAGTATTTGTGGTAGACATTTTGATACAGCATATAAGCTGCTGCATGGTAGCCCATGTTCCATATCGAAATACTTGATCTTGTTAAGACTGCTCCACTTCTCATCCAGCTTTCTGCTCATTCATCCTGAGAGTCAACGGTGATGGTTCCAGTGCCTGGGCCACCGCCAACAATGTTGAAAACCTAGCTGGAGTTCCAGACTGCTGGCTGTGGTCTGACCCCCCTGTGGGCGTCTGGAGAGTAAACCAGTGGATAGAATATCTCTGTTTGCCTTTCATATAGAAGGAAACGATTGAACTGTTAAAGAAGCTGACATCCGACTATACAGTGTATACAGGTAGAGTAGATCAGTCTGACACAGATTTGTGATGGGTTACATTACTTTAGTTATCCTTCTGAATTTTTTCCTATTTCCTTTTTTAAGATTTATTTTTATTGCAAAGTCAGAATACACAGAGAGCAGGCGAGACAGAGAGAGGAAGATCTTCCATCTGATGATTCATTCCCCAAGTGACCACAATGGCCGGTGTTGCACCTATCTGAACCCAGGATTCCTCCACGTCTCCCACATGGGTGCAGGGTCCCAAGGCTTAGGGCTGTCCTCACTGCTTTCCCAGGCGCAAACAGGGAGCTGTATGAAAAGTGGAGCAGCCAGGATTAGAACCGGAGCCCATATGGATCCTGGCATTCAAGGTGAGAACTTAAGCCACTAGGCCACTGCGCCGGGCCCCTACTTCCTTTTGAACTCTGTTAGGGGATACCAGTTGAAAGCATACCAACTTCCTGTCAGTATTCTTGCATCATTTTGGTACACTTAAGAATACAAGAGCTTAGGCCTGGCATGGTAGCCTGGAGGCCAAAGTCTTCACCTTGCATGCACTGGGATCTTGTATGAGCACCATTTTGTGTCCTGGCTGCTCCACTTCCCTTCCAGCTTCCTGCTTTGTGGGCTGCAAAAGTGGTAGAAGATGGCCTAAAGCCTTGAGAGCTTGTGCCTGTGTAGGGGACCTGGAAGAAGTTCATGGCTCCCTGCCTTCGGGTTGGCTCAGCTCTAGCCATTGTGTTGCTTGGGGAATGAACCAGTGGACAGAAGATCCTTCTCCTTGTAATTCTGACTTTCCAATAAAAAAATAAATCAATCTTTAAAAACAAGAAATAGGAAAAATAATATCAATGCTAGCCCTATGTAGCCTGGCAGTTTTGAGTTTCAAAAATTGACCTTGAAGAATGGTAAGATTTTTTTTAAATTGTAAATTAGTTTTTTCTTCTTTCTTTAGGATGTAATACCCATTTATTTTATATACTTACTGAATTTTGATCAAAGCAAAATGACTCATTTTGGGGTAGCAGGGTGTGACAGTCCTAGAGGTACTGGATATCAGGTTGAGGCTTGGAGAGGGTAGAGCGAAATCCTGTTCCAGCTCCTTGCTCCATAAGTCTATTTGGTGTGTGGTCCCAGAACATGGACCAGGTATTAAACTGATTAAAACAAGCAGCTTGATGTTAGTTGAAAGACTAAGAAGTGATGCTGTGCTTTTGAGAATATACATGTCACTCAAGTATCCAAAATACTTCACCAGTATACTCCCTCTGACCTTGGAGGAGTTCTGAAAAAGCATCACCAGTAAGTAGAATAGAGAATATTGGTAACAATGTGATTTTTAATATTGGATAAAAGTTATGTATGGTTGGAACAAATCTCTTTTCTTCTTTCTTAAGGAATTGAATGACCTGGCCCGGGACCCCCCAGCACAGTGTTCAGCAGGTCCTGTTGGAGATGATAGTAAGTATTCAAAAGGATGATGGAATAAAATAGCTGGCATCAGGCTCTGGGGAGCTCCGGGACACATTGATCAGTATTGAAGATTACTTTTGAAGGAATAATTGTATTATCAACACTCTTAGTTGCCTGTGAAAGGAGCAGTTTTATCTGTATCTGATCATCCTCTTATGAATGTTCCAAGGGCCTTAAGTCTTTTATAATTTGTTAGATGACTTTATTGCATAGAGACTCTTCCCATTCTTTGATTTATTCTCAACATAGGTTTTTTTGTCTTGGTGTCTTCCAATTTGTTTTATTTATTTATTTTTTGTTGTTGTTGTTAATTACATTGCATTATGTGGCACAGTTTTATAGATACTGGGATTCCCCCACCCCTCCCCGAACCCTTCCCCCATGGTGGATTCCTCCACCTTGTTGCGTTACCCAAGTTCAAATTCACATGAGATTCTTTCATTGCAAGCATATACCAAGCATAGAGTCCAGCATCTTATTGTCCAGATAAATTCAGCAGCTTGTTGGGGAGACCATCTCTGGTCTGAAGGTAGAGCCAGCAGAGTATCATCCCTGTCAATTAAAAGCCCCGACATAACATCAGCAACAGTTTATAACATTATAAAATTAATTGACATAGTATTGAGTAACCAACATGCTAAAAAAAAATGCAAGCTCTTTACCACATCCTGTGACTCTTTCGTTGACATTTCAATTTTAATTTATACACAACCGGGTTCTATACACCTTAAAATGGCTATAGATTACTATTCAGCTGTCTCATGTCTATTTTCATTATAATATTTAGCATTATATAGCGTAGAAGCATGATTCTGTTGAACTTGGGGTGTGTTTTGTTTTTTTTGTTTGTTTGTTTTTGTTTTTGTTTTTTTCCTCAGGTAGTCTAGACTGGCCTATAACTCTGACAAGACATATGTCAACAGTTTAGGTGCTTTATTTTTTATTTCAACTTTTTAAGGGAAGATGTTTGAATGACAGTGTTTTGATGATTTTAAAAAAATCCACAATACAGTCTAACATTTTTTGGTTTTTGGTTACGCAAGCTTGGAAATACATGTGAGGAAGTGTATAAAGGGATGTATGCCTGACATAGCAGTTTAGATGTTATGTGGAGAGCGAGTGTTGTACATAGCAAATCAAGTTAAACTGCTTGGATGCATGCATCTCAAATCGGAGTGTTAGTTTCCAGATAAGCTGCTTCTGATCTGTGCATATTGGGAAACAGCAGATGACAAGTCACATACTTAAGACGCCTGAGAGACCTGCAGGGCCTTCCTGGTTCCTGGCTGCTATAGACAGCTGAGAAGTGAACAAGCCAGTGGAAGTCAGTTTCTTTATATCTTTCTCACTTTCTCCCTCAACCTTTTCAGTAGATGAAAATAAATAGATGTATGTTAAAAAAAAAAAAGACAGGAGGGCCCGGTGTGGAGGCTAGCAGTTAAAATCCTCACCTTGAATGCACCAGGATCCCATATGGGCACTGGTTCTAATCCTGGCAGCCCAGCTTCCCATCCAGTTCCCTGCTTGTGGCCTAGGAAAGCAGTTGAGGATGGACAAAGCCTTGAGACCCTGCACCCGCATGGGAGACCCGGAAGAGCTCTTGCCTTCGGATTGGCACAGTACTGGCCATTGTGGTCACTTGGGCAGTGAATCAGTGGACGGAAGATCTTCCTCTCTGTCTCTCCTCCTCTCTCTATATATCTGACTTTGCAATAAAAATAAATACATCTGAAAAAAAAAAGGAGATGCTGCTCAGGATGCCTGTATCATGGTGGCTAGGTTTGAGTCCTGCTCTGGTTCTTTTCCCAGCTTTCCACTATCACACACTTTGAGGAGACAGCAGATGGCTTGAGTAGATAGATCCCTGCCATTCATGTCCCCATAGGAGGCCAGAAACCTCTTTCTGGCTGCTGACTCTAGCTTCTATTGAAGTATGCACACTGGGAAGCAGCAGTGATGGCTCCTGCTGCATGTAGGAGACCTGGAAGCGTCCCCAGCCCATGGCCCAGGTCCAGCCATTGCGGTGATTTGGGGAGTGGGGAAACAAATCGAAACTACATCTTAAATTTTTTCTTATGGTTTCTAGGCCTTTTGGCTAAGATCAAGTGTTAATTTTTTTCTTAAACATTTATTTATTTTTATTGAAAGATTTAGTGAGAGGAGAGACAGAAACAGAGATCTTCCATTCTGCTGGTTCTCTCCTCAAGTGGCCACAACAAGCGGAGCTGAGCTGATCTGAAACCAGGAGCTTCTTTCATATGGGTTCAGGGTCTCGAGGCTTTGGGCCATACTTGACTGCAATCCCAGACCACAAGCAAGGAGCTGGAAGGGAAGTGGGGCAGCCAAGATATGAACTAGTGCCCACATAAGATAACAGAGGAAGAGATAGAGGCAGCAGCCTTTTATCCACTAGCTCATTCCCTCAGTGACTGCAATGTCCAGGGCTGGGGCCAAGTTGGAGTCACGAGCAAGGAGCTTCTTTGTGGTCTTTCACACGAATATAGGGGAATAAACATTTGGGTTGTCTTCACATGCATTAGCAGGGAACTGAGTCAGCAGTGAAGCAGCCAGAACTCAACTCCACACACATAAGTGATGCTAGCGCTATAGATGGTGGCTTAACTCACATACTCAGCGTAGTCCCCTTAAAATAGAAAGTAATTGTTGTGATGATTGTACAGCTTTGTCAATGGAAATAAGAACCATTAGGATTCCAGTGCGATGACTCAATGACTAAGTCCTCACCTTGCACACACCATGATACTATATGGGGGCTAGTTCATGTCCTGGCTGCTCCATTTCTCATCTAGCTTTCTGCTTTGGTCTTAGGAAGCAGTAGAGGATAGCTCCAAGCCTTGCGACCATGTGCCTGCACAGGAGACCTAGGGGAGACTTCTGACTCCTGGCTTTGGGTGAAACTGAGCCAATCTGAAGCCAGGAGCTTTCTCCTTTGGGTCTCCCACATGTGTGCAGGGTCCCAAGCCTTTGGGCCATCCTCCACTGCTCTCCCAGGCCACAAGCAGTGAGCTGAAAGGGAGGTGGAGCAGCTGGCACATGAACGAGTGCCCGTGTGGGATCCCAGACTTGGAGGTGGAGGATAAGCCAGTTGATCATTGTGTCAGCTCCCCTGTTTTCCTTTCTTGCTTTGTTCTATTTTCCGTCCCTCACTCCTGTCTTAGTTACTTAGTAGAAAGAATTACAGCGAGAGGAGGAGAGTCAGAGTGAGGTCCTTCCCTGCACTTCTGTGGGAGACTTAGAGAAAATTCATGGGTCCTGGCTTGAGAGCAGATCAGCTCCAGCTGCTGTAGCCACTTAGATCTTTTTTCTCTTGCTCTGTGGATCTCTTTCCAATAAAAATAAATAAATCTTTTAAAAAAATAGTCAAGGTTGGCCTTAACTAAAGCCAGGTTCGTGGACCTTTGTCCAGGAATGCATGTATTTTACCTAGTACACTTGCACTGAGCTGGATCAGAAGTGGAGCACCCAGAACATAAACTGGTGCCTGTGTAGGATGCTGGTGTCAAAGTCAGGCATGTAACCCCCTTCACCAGAGAACCCCAATGTGAATTTCCTTTTTTCTTTTTTTTTTTTAAAGATTTATTTATTTATTCAAAAGTCAGATATACAGAGAGGAGGAGAGACAGAGAGGAAGATCTTCCATCCATCCGATGATTCACTCCCCAAGTGAGCGCAAAGGCTGCTATGCTGATCAGAAGCCAGGATCCAGGAACTTCTTCTGGGTATCCCACATGGGTGCAGGGTGCCAAAGCCTAGGGTTGCCCTCGAATGCTTTCCCAGGCCACAAGCAGGGAGCTGGATGGGAAGTGGAGCTGCCAGGATTAGAACCGGCGCCCATATGGGATCCCGGCTCATTCAAGGCGAGGAGTTTAGCCGCTAGGCCACGCCGCCAGCGCCCCCCAATGTGAATTTTCAAGATGCTTTTTACCCCAGCTGTTTTATTTTGAGTGCCTTAATGTTTTCAGCTATTGTAGTAATTTTTTTCTGTATCTTTAGACTTCATTTCTTTATCCTACCCTTACTCATTGTCATAATGTTGACAAGCTTGTAGTGGACAGGGTATGATGTTACTGTGCTATACAGTGTAGATATCACTAAGTGGTTAACATTTTCTTTTTGTTTTTCAGTGTTCCATTGGCAGGCTACAATAATGGGGCCAGTAAGTATTCAGATTGATTTCAGAATGAAGAATTTATGTCATTTACACGTTTTAATTGTGCTTTTCTTTATCATCTACAGAATGACAGTCCTTATCAGGGTGGAGTATTTTTCTTGACAATTCATTTCCCTACAGATTACCCCTTCAAACCACCTAAGGTAATTGAAATGTGAGTTGTTTTTAACGTGTATTGTGCAAGAAACCACTTTCCAAAATCTTCCCTTTTTTTCATAGGTTGCATTTACAACAAGAATTTATCACCCAAATATTAACAGTAACGGCAGCATTTGTCTTGATATTCTACGGTCACAGTGGTCTCCAGCACTAACTATTTCAAAAGGTAACAGTATGGGTATTTGATATCAAGATAAATAACTATCTTTTGGTTATATCTTCTTGCAGAGATGAGTTACATAGTTTTTAAGAGGAGATCGCAGTGCCTTATTCTGAAATAGACTTGAGAACAGCTACTAGGCTTGGATTTCCAAGTACAGGTATTCATCAGTGTGGTGACTCCTCTGTTGACTACTAGTAAGACCTAGGTTGAAAGATGGGCACTTTGGGCCCGGCAGCATGGCCTAGCAGCTAAAGTCCTTGCCTTGAACACTCTGGGATCCCATGTGGGCACCAGTTCTAATCCCAGTAGCCCTGCTTCCCAACCAGCTTCCTGCTTGTAGCCTGGGAAAGCAGACAAGGACGGCCCAAAGCCTTGGGACCCTGCACCTGCTTGAGAGACCTGGAGGAAGTTCCTGGCTCCTGGCTTTGGATCGGCACAGCACCGGTCATTGCAGTCACTTGGGGAGTGAATCTTTGGATGGAAGATCTTCCTCTCTGTCTCTCCTCCTCTATGTATATCTGACTTTGCAATAGAAATAAATAAACAAACAAACAAAAAAAAACAAGAAAGAAAGATGGGCACTTCGTAATGAATGTTTTTTGGAACATGAAGAAGACAGTATTTCTTCCAACCTTGAAATCTGTGAATAGAAAAGGTAGTTAATGTTTGAGACCAGGAGATATTGACCCTTTAGAAGATTGCTATGCTATAAACATAAACATTATGTTCTTAAAAAACAAAACAAGGATACATGATTTGTATTCATACTGTTTAAAGTTTGACCGCTTTATCTTTCTATCAGGAACTATGTTTTGAAATGAGCGGTTTAATACAGATTTTTCTTTGAGAGTTGAGTGTTTAGCCATGCAGATAACATGCCCATGTCCCACATCAGAGTACCTGGGTTCAGTATCTTTCACCACCACCTTACTCCACCTTAAGGTGCAGTAGTGATGATTGAAGTCGTTGACTTCCTGCCCCCCTGTGTAGGAGACCTAGATGGTGTTCCTGGCTGCCAGATTTGGTCTGATCCATTTGTTACAGGCATCTGAGGAACACGCTAACCATAGGATTGTTTTTTTGTGTGTCTTATTTGTGTGTCTCCTCGCCCGTCAAATAAATGTATTTTAATGGTTACTGCTGCAGTCCTGTATGAAAGTTGTTGGATGTAGGAGTGAGTCAGTGGATGGATCATCAGTCTTTTTCCCTGTATCGTTCCCTAACCCTGCTTTTTAAGTAAGTTGATTAATTTTTTAAAAGATTTATTTATTTTTATTGCAAAGTCAGATATACAGAGAGGAGGAGAGACAGAACAGAAGATCTTCTATCCTTTGATTCACTCCTCAAGTGACTGCAACGGCCAGTGCTGCGCCAGTCAGAAGCCAGGAGCCAGAGACTTCCTCCAGGTCTCTCACTTGGGTGCAGGGTCCCAAGGCTTTGGGCTGTCCTTGTCTGCTTTCCCAGGCTGTATTACAAGCCGGGAACTGGATGGGAAGCAGGGCTACCGGGATTAGAACCGGCATCCATATGAGATGCCAGCGCATTCAAGGCGAGGACTTTAGCCACTAGGCCACCATGGCTGAGCCCAAGTTTACTCTCTTAAATTCAGCTGTAAATGGCTTCAGTGACTTAAGCCGGGCCAGGCTAAACCAAAGCCAGCTTCTTCCGTATCTGCCTGAGAGTATAGGGACCCAAGCACTTGGCCTGTCCTCCCTGTTTACCTAGGAGCATTAGCAAGGAGCTAGAACAGAAGTGGAGCGGTCAGGACTGGAACTCTCATCCAAATGCTACCAGTACGGACCGCAAGTTAATATGTTGCACAACAATGCCATACTGGAAACCATGCTTTTAAAAATTGTGAATGGAATAGTTCTCCAGAGAAATGGCTTTTTCCCTTTTGGGTCCCTTGCTATTCATGGGTTACTTGAGAAAGTGTTCCTGTATCTGTTCTTCTCATTTATTGGCCTGGTGAGGATCCTGTTGATTGCTCTTCCTTCATCATTGTAAATCTCAGTAGTGAGATACAGAGAGGTAAAAATCAGTAGATGAGACAGACAGAGAATGAGAGAATGTGTGTGTGTGTGTGAGAAGTGTGTGTTGGGAGACAGCTACGTAAGGTTTTTTTATTATTATTATGTCTAGTGTTGGTGTTTTTTAGCTATTAGGAGTCCAAATAGTTTTTTTTAATCTTAATTTCAAAGTTTTTTTATCTTAATATTCTATTAAACTGTAGTGCCATTTGTTTAAATGTGATTTTGTCATTTAACTTAGCTCTGAAGTTTCAATGAGTAGTTTCTAAATTGAATATATGGCAATATTTCTGTATAAGCTGTTTTCCATTTTTAAGATTAAAGTTAGGCATCTAAGTATAGAAAACTTGAAACAGGCAAGTATGCTATAAAGCTGTTTTGTTGTAGTTTTGGAATTAGAAGTGATTGTTATTATGGCGTCAATGACAGTGTGTATGCCAATGAAGAATGTTTACATAAGTAGAAATTGAGTCACTTTCATGAAGAGCCAGGCTATGCCAGTTGTGGAAATAGGAGTTACTGTCTCTCTCACTTTGTTTTTAAGATTTATTTATTTTTTATTGGAAAGTCAGATGTACAGCAAGAAGAAGAGACAGAAAGATCTATCTGCTGGTTCACTCCCCACATGTGCACAGTAGGCAGAGCTGAGCTGATCTGAAGCCAGGTACTTCTTCCGAGTCTCCCATCCAAGGGAGGGGTCCAAGGCTTTCGGCCATTCTTGACTACTTTCCCAGGCCGCAAACAGGGAACTGGAAGGGAATTGGAGCAGCCAGGATTAGAACTGGCACCCATATGGAATCCTGGTACATACAAGTACTTTAGTCACTATGCTACTGTGCCGGGCCCAGGAGTTACTGTATTTACAGAGAAAGAAGATATAGTATGTTATACACTACAATCAATCTTTTATGAATCCTTTCTTCAAATTCAGATAATCATTACCCCGCTTTACCTCATTTAACTTTATCATTACCCCATGTTAACTTTCCTAGAAAGTTAGAATATCTGTTTCCTTGTAGTTTATTCTTTTAAAGTTATCTTACTAGAATAATTAGAACAAGTAAAGGGAGTTTACTTAGGTGAAGAATCAGTTGCAGTCCTCCCAGTTTGAGAGGCCAGGTAGCTTTCTTCTCCCCATAGGGAGTACTTTCATGAGCATTCCTGTTACCATTTTCAGGAAATCCTCTCTATTTGCCGTTGGACTGTTATATGCTTGAAAAAGGCATCACGTGATGACACCTGACATTTGGAAAAGAAAGTATGTTGTGAATGAGATCTACCAAAAAAGATTTAGAAAGCGTATTTACCGTTTTAACTTCATTTGCCATGTATTCTGAAGACAGTGAAATAGTTTTGACAAATGACAAAGAATTGCAACTTGATTTTCAACTCTCAGAGGCCCCAATTCTCTATATAACAGATCTGATAGGGAGATGAGTAAAATCCTGTTCCTGCTGGATTTGATGTGTTGGGAGTAAAGTAGACTCTTGAGTCCTTGCTTAGTAAAGAGCATTTAAGAGAAAGATCTTATTTGTCAAGTGGTGTAGCATCATAATAGAAGGAAAGGGATGTATTTCATTATGCCAGAGTCTGATGAACATAGTGTAATTCGTGACCTTGGCCTCCCTCTCAATAAGGAATACATTACAATGATATATTTGAATGGAGCAAATTGAACTATTGAACTTTGTCTACCATATTTGGGGAAATGGTTTAGATGGGTTTCCAAATTGTCACTGAGAAGAATTTAAGAACTTGTAGTATCCTTGATAGATTCTGCCTATTTTTGGCCAGGTACTGGCTTTTTTTATTTAAGATTTATTTTATGAGGGGAGGGTATTTGGAAGAAAAGGAAGGGAAATCCCAGAGCCTATGAAACTCATTAAATAAACAGATGACTAAATAAAAGATTTCTTTTTATTTTAAAGGCAGAGTGATAGGGAAAGAAGGAAAGACAGAAAGAGATTATCCATCTGCTGGTTCACTTCCCAGATGACTGCAGTGACTGGAGTTGGGTTGGTCAGGAACCAGGCGTTCCTTCTGGGTCTCCCACATGGGTACCTGGGCCCAAGGACTTGAGGCATCTGTTGCTGCTTTCCCAAGCCATCCAGTCAGCAGGGAGCTAGATAGGAAGTGGAACAGCCAAAATTCAAACTAGTATCTGTATGGGATGCTGGTATGACAGGTGGAGGCTTACCTTACTATACCATGGTACTGGCCCGTGTGTAGTGGCATGGTACTTATTTATTTGAAAGACTGAGTGACAGAGATCTTCCATGTGCAGATTCATTTCTCTGCCCACAAATGCTGGGACTGGGACAAGTCAAAATCAGGCACCAGAAATTCCATCAGAGTCTTCCACAGTGGTGGCAGGGACATCCCCTAGGTATTTGGACCATTTGTCTACTACTTTCCCAGGCATATTTGCAGGGAGCTGGATAGGAATGGAATAGCTGATTCTCAGGCCATCAGCAGGGTATTGGATCAGAAATGGAGCAGTCACAACTCAAACTGACACAGATTTTTCTTTCTCTCTGTATATCTGCCTTTCCAAAAGATAAATAAATCTTTAAAAACAAACCTGGGCCCAGCACCATGGCCTAGTGACTAAAGTCCTCACCTTGAACTCGCCAGAATCCCATATGGGCACCAGTTCTAATCCTAGCAGCTCCACTTCCCATCCGGCTCCCTGATTGTGGGCTGAGAAAGCAGTGAGGACGGCCCAAAGCCTTGGGGTCCTGCACCTGCATGGGAGATCCTGACTTTGGATCAGCTCAGCACTGGCTGTTGTAGTCACTTGGGGACTGAATCATTGGATGGAAGATCTTCCTCTCTGTCTCTCCTCCTCTCTGTGTATCTGACTGTGCAATAAAAGTAAATCTTTAAAGAAAAATGATTAGCAAACAAATAAACCTGACACTGTGGTATTGGAGACAGACATCCCAAGTTGTGGCTAAATCCACTGTGTCACAACACCTGCTGCAAATACTGACCTTTATGTTCTTTGCTTAGGTTAAATTATTCTCAACTAAAAATGAAACAAATCTTTTATTTCTAAAAGTGGTACCTCTATGGTTCAGAAAGCAGTGATTGTTGTATTTCATGGTTGTCAAATTTGTCTAAGGGTATTCAGAGGTAGGATTTATTTATTTTTATTGGAAAGGCAAATCTGCAGAGAGGAAAGACAGGCAAACATCTTGCCCAAATGAATGCAACAGCTGGAGCTGAGCATATCTGAAGCCAGGAGCTTGAAATAATCAAACTCTGAAAAGTGTCCTGATCTAAGATTTAGAAGACATGAGCTGTAATTCCATGCATATTACTAGAGAAGGAACTTGGACAAGTCACTTCTGTCTGGGCTTGCTTCCTTAAGGAATTTAGTCATATTTGTATTCTCTTTCCCCCTTCTTTTATTTCATGAAATGTAAGGCTTGGAACCAAGGAGATTGTGGTTTAGAAGAGACATAGAGATCTTCCATCCACTGTACTTACTCCCCAGGTGGCCATGTCAGCCAAAGTTCTTTCAGGAAGAAAGAAGCCAGGAGCCAGGAGTTTCTTCCAGGTCTCCCTCATGGGTGGCAGGGATCCAAGAACTTGAGCCATCTACTGCCGTTTTTCCCAGGCTGTTATCCAGGAGTTTGAGCGAGTGAAGCAGTCAGGATTTAAACTGACACATGGGATGCCTGCTGTCACAGGTGGTGGGTTTAACCACTGTGCCACAACATCAGCCCAGGGAGGCTTGTATTCTTGTATGGGAGACTAAGGTGCTGCTTACTACTTTTATGTTCCTTGTTTTAATTTTTGTTTACTGTTATACTTACCAGATACAATTGACTTAGAGACTAGGCACTAAATATTTGTAGGTTTTTTTAATTTTCTCAAGCGATGACATCTCATGTTTCTCTAAGTCCTTTACTTTCTCCTCTACTAATGCATATGCTTGTTTCATTCCAGTCCTCTTGTCCATCTGTTCTCTGTTGTGTGATCCCAATCCAGATGATCCTTTAGTGCCTGAGATTGCTCGGATCTACAAAACAGATAGAGAAAAGTAAGTATGGCTCTAGACAGTAAGTGTCCAAAGTTCAATCATGATGTTTGTCTCAGACCTTTGGTTACATGTTTGGCTTTTGATACAGAAAGCATTCTATGTCAAGTGCCCATTTTCCTGCACAGGTATTTATAAGTTAATAGAAAATGGAAATAATTTTTTTTATCATTTCGCATAATATAAAGGAGAAAACCAAGTAAATGTCATTAGACATGAAAGCCCCATTTTTAAGAAAAATCAAAAATTTTTTTTTAGGGGTTTAGAATTTCGGGGTTTTTGAATTGTACTGTGAGTTATTGAAGAGTGGTCTGTGTATCAGAGGAAAAAGTGACAGTGTTCTAACCATTGTTGTATGTATGTTATTTAGAGTAAAATTAAGTCACTTTTTTTCTGTTTGTGATGTTTTCACAATAGTATTTTAAGATTATAGAACCTTTTACTCCATTATCTGGAATTGTAGGTTTAAATAGCATTTCCTAATTATAATAATCTTCAGCAGAACTTTCCTTCATCCTTTTTTTCATAGCAGAATTATAAAACATTTCCTTCATGTGTTCTACTAAATGTTCTGGAACAGCAGCCTGTTCATTTTGTTAACCACAATGTTAGAATTAAGTTCTGCTAGAGCCAGTATATTAATTGATATAGAAGAAACCATTGTGCCAGTTGGCACATCATTAGTATATGATTTCAAGAACCATCTGATGTAGAATTACATACTTTTCTAGAATATCAAATAACTGAATCAAGAGATCATGAAATTTCTTGTAAATAAATAGATCAGTCAGGTTTATGATGTAGTGTGTGCCAACAGATACCCAAATTAGACTCCTGTAAGTAATGTTAATAGGATATTATTTGCATTTTATACCTCTGTATATTATTGAATAGATGCTTACTAGAAACTTGGTAGAAAATAACTTTGCTTGAATATACAGTGAGCTATTCCCCTTAGGATACTAGATAAGAAAATGAATGACCTGTGTTGCATGTACTGACATCTTGCCTATTGTTAAGCTAAGCTTCTCTTTGTGTGTACAGGTACAACAGAATAGCTCGGGAATGGACTCAGAAGTATGCGATGTAATTAACGAAATTATTGGATAACCTCTACAAATAAAGATAGGGGAACTCTGAAAGAGAAAGTCCTTTTGATTTCCATTTGACTGCTTTCTATGAGCCCACGCCTCATCTTCCCCTGTGCACATGTTTACCTGATACAGCAGTACTGCGTGTTGTACATACTTGGAACAACAAACTAGAAATGCTGTACTTCTGTACCAACATTGCCTCCTAGCAGAGAAATGTGTGTGTGTGACAAGCCAGTTCTCCAGGCATAACCTAGGTGTGAGACTTAAAGCTTTTCTTATTGACTTAAATTTGGATATTGGCATGGTGTGAGGGGTGGTGGGTGTGGTGTGTGCTTGGATGGAGAGGAAACGTTCCACTCATCTGTAAGAGATTGTTTCTAGGTGGAATCCATTTTAACTCAAAACAGTTATGGAAAGCAAGGTGAAGAACATGAAGCTGTTTCTGTATTCTTTTTTATTCCTTAGGACCTACATGTTAGGTGCAAGGTGAAGGTGATGACCAACCAGATTATACTCTACCCACATCCTTTATTTGAAGGTCTAAGTTTTACTGGTCAACTTGTAAATGGATTGGAGCTATTAGTATGTAAATTGTGATGGGCTTTGTTCCCAACTCTTTTACATCTCCCCACCCCTTCAACCTTTCAGCCATTCTCTCTCCTTATTCCTTGGTTTGTATGTGGTTTCTTAGTTAATACATAGCTAATAGCTCTTATTTTTCTTATGTTTTTAACTGCTTAGGTCTCTTTGGATGTAAGGGTGAGAATTCATTTGATGGAAATACTTGTGAATATTTAAAGACCCAATTGCTCCTCTGGAGCTTGTACGTTCAAGAATGATTAATCTGTGTAATAAACTGATGACTACAGTCATTACATATAATTTTGTGTGAATAGGCTTTTTGATTTTAAGAACTTTGTCTAGCTAAGATTAGTGGTGGACTTTCCCCACTCCTGAGATGTTTTTCATTTATACTGGTTGCATTTCAAAAATCATGAAACAGTTCCGGTTTACATAGTAAAACAGATATCTTGAGTATAATTTATTGAGCAAGTTAGAGGCATAAACTTAAAAGCATTTTCATAAAACCTATGTGTGAGGCATTCTAGACACATGACTGTTAAACTCAATAAAGAATTTGCTCTATTAATGCGACTCAGCCGCATTCCACCAAAACCTTGTGACATTATCTTGGTAAATAAAACACAAAGGCATTGCTAATGTGTTAAGTTAGGCCTCTGTGATTATAATTGTGAAAGAGAAACAGTGACCAAACCTGGGAACCATGAGCACAGTCTCGTATTGGAGAGTCAATATAATTACTTTGCACTAACTTTTACAGGATGTTCACCCAATTTTAACTTGTACTGTATGTGGCTTTTTGAAGTCTTCCTTGACTCTAGTAAAATGTAGTTTGAAACTTGTAAACAACCGTGTTTGCCAGAAACATCATTCGTGTGAACTAGGAAAGTTGCCCTTTTTTTCCTTTCTTGTTTCTGACCTCATTGTAAACCAAGCCACCCTGAAGGCGGTGGCAGATGCTCTCTAGCCATCGGGTTCTTTCAATTGCATCTTCACACTCTTGCATAAAAACTGAGGAATAAATGTCCACTGCTTTCCGTTTTAAACTTGTTCACCTTGTTTCTTCTCTCAGTGTCATAGCTACTTCATTCTTGGAACTCACATATAACCTAAAATCTCCTAAATGTTCTGCATTTTGGCTACTGCCTACTTACAAGCCTTTCAGAAATGCTTACTAGCATCCTTTACCTTGTAGAAATGGTTTCACTAATAAAGCGTTTTGGGAAAAGTAGTTCTCACTGAGTGCTAACCAGAATCACCCTGTATTGTTGGTGTCATGGACAGGGGCAATCCATAAGTCATTAGCTTGCTGTTAACCACTGCCTGTGGGTCAGCTGCATTTGTCTTTCATCTTAGTAGCAGGTTTATTATCATTTTGTAGGTCATACTGTAGATATTTTCACAAGTGCTTTTAAGTATTTTTGTACCGAATAAAAGCCTTCGTCCCAGTGTGTGGGTGTGGTGGGTGACAAACAGTATTATGCCGCTGTTTGCAGTTTGGTCTTGCTCATTCAAGTCTGAAGTACATTTGGTCTGGCTGTGTGTGTTCATGTGGGTTTACCAAAATGAAGGCTCGGGGAGGGAGGTCTCCGCTTCCACTTCTAGAAGGAGCATCACTCAAGGTGGGCCTCCCCTGAACCTAATGGCTCTTTATGGTAATTTTCTCTGACTTTGCCATATGTAAAAGCCAGACTGTGGCAACCCTGATTACTTTGCCCAGGTAATTACAAGGAAATGTCATGTACATGTGTCTCCTTTGTAAATCTTTTTTTTTTTTTTAATTTTTAAATTCATTTATTTTTAACAGGAAGTCAGATTTACAGAGAGGAGGAGAAACAGAAAGATCTTCCATCCACTGGTTCATTCCCCAAGTGGCTGCAATGACCGGAGCTGGGGTGATCTGAAGCCAGGAGCTTCTGGGTCTTCCACGTGGGTACAGGGTCCCAAGGGTTTAGACCATCCTCTACTTCTTTCCCAGGCCACAGGCAGAAAGCTGCCTGGATTAGAACTGGCGCCCATATGGGATCCCTGCGCATGCAAGGTGAGGACTTTAGCCATTAGGCTACCAAACCAGGCCCAAAGATCTTTTGTTTGCTTCTTAATCCTAGCTTTGAAGTACCTTGTCAGATTACATGGCTGGAACAGCCTCGTCGGGTAAAAACTGAAGTCTCCAGGTATTCACATGCTGTGTCATTGGCCAGTGTTCATAAATCACATTGTTCTGTCACTTTCTACCTGGGAGAAGGGTTGTAGGGTTGTAGGTGTCCGGAAGGGCAGACAGGACTGGTTTGGAAAGAGTAGGGTAGGGAACAGGAGGAAGAAGGAAGAGTCTTGTCCATGGCCTGGTGGTGGAGGCTTTTCTTTGTCACTTCCACTTGATGTAATACCCTATTCTTAAAAAGTTATTTTGAGCCATAGGTGGGTTGTCAGGAGAAATGGGTTATTTCTAAATGGAAGTGTAAATTGTGACTTGTCTGCATTCATTTGAAGCTCTGACTTGGTTTCAGTGTGCTGTGTTGCACCCTTAACACAAAGTCATGATGTTTTGGAACCACCTTCCATTCCATTCTTTCATTTGTTTTTAAGATTTATTTGTATTTCTTAGAAAGCCAGAAACTAGAGGAGGAAATACAGAGAGGAAGATTTTTTGTCCATTGATTTTCTCCCCAAATGGCCACAATGGCCAGAGCTGAGCCAATCCAAAGCCAGGAGCCAGAAGCTTCTTCTGGGTCTCCCTTGCAGGTGCAAGGACCCAAGGTTTTGGACCTCCTCAGCTGCTTTTCCAGGCCATAAGCAGGGAGCTGGATTGGAAGTGGAACAGCTGGGATATGAACTGGTACCCATATGGGATCCTGGCATGTGCAAGGTTAGGATTTTAGCCACCAGCTAACATGCCGGACCCCATTCCATTCTTTCAAATGAGGAATAAACATCTTTATTATACTTGCAGCAGTGTCAGACTCCTGTCCTTTTCGTTCCTCTTTTTCCCATTGTAAAATAATTTTTATTTCAAGTTTTAGGTTACTTTGGTGGATATGGTTGTGTATAGCAAAAGATAAATTTTTAATATGAGAATAACTGAAGATAGCAAACTGTTGGCTGACACATCCATATACATCCAGTAAGAGAACATAGACTTTCTTTGAGGCACCCTGGGTCCTGGTTCTCATTTAATTTTCTTTTGTATAAGCATTCAAATTTTTCTCAGTTCTCCATACCATACAGAAGTACAGATCTTTTTCCTGGTGCTATAACTTTACCTGGTATAAGCGGGTAGTATTCAGTGTCTACCATCACCCCAAGTATTTCTAGACCTGTTCTGGGGGTGGACAAAAATAGGAAAATACGTCAACAGGGTTCAATCATCATGAAACAGTTCTCACTGTTGCCACATTTTACTTCAGTGTGGAAGGATAACTCCATGGTAGGAACTGACTAAGCCTGGAGGACCTTTGACTTCAGCCATGACTGAATATACAAGGCGTTATCTGCTAGCTCTGCTCTTGGTCAGTGAATCCTGGTATGGTAAAGTAGGCTCCAGCATAATGTTTTAAATTCGGTTAATTTGAAAGACAAAGAGATGATAATCTACCCACTGGCTCACTCCCTAAATGCTCAAAAAAGCCACGTCTGCACCAGGCTGAAGCCAGGAGTGCAGTTCAGATCCCTCGTGTGAGCCAGTCCTCACTGCCGCAGCCTCAGCTAAACCGGAATGATGACCACAGCCGGGACTGGGGCACCCTGATGCAGCATGCAGGTGGCCCACGTGGAGTCTTCCCCACTGTGCGTGATCATTGTTTGTCTTCAAATCATATTTAATAGTTTCCTCTGATGAAGTGATTTGCTTATTTTTAAGTTTGTATGTGCATCATTACAAAATAGAACGGCTTTTTCCAGGACTACGGTGCCTGAAAGTAAATGGATGGTCACTCTAAAAGCCAAGCAGCAGCCACCTAAGTGCCCAGGCTAGGCTTGCTGTGACTGTAAACGGGAAGAGCCGCAGCAGTCTGGGAAATCAGTCTTCTGTGGATGGCAAGGGTGACAGTTTCCCTTCTGCTCTGAACAGCGTGTTCTCACAATTCTTTTTGTCCTCCCTCCTGAGTACTTCATAATCTTGGATCTTGAAATGCCCTGAATTGGAGTGAGTGGGGAGCTCCTCCCTAATGGCTAGCTTTGTCGGGTTTGATGCTCACCACAAAAAGTAAATAGTTTTGGAAGCCCCAAAACTCTTTCTGGGAGCCCAGTGCAATAGCATAGTGGTTAAAGTCCTCGCCTTGTACATGCCAGGATCCCATATGGGCGCTGGTTCTAATCCCAGCAGCCCTGCTTCCCATCCAGCTCCCTGCTTGTGGCCTGGGAAAGCAGTGAAGGACAGCCCAAAGCCTTGGGATCCTGCACCTGCATGGGAGACCTGGAGGAAGTTCCTGGCTCCTGGCTTCGGATCAGCACAGCACTGGCCATTGCAGTCTCTTGGGGAGTGACTCATCAGAAGAAAGATCTTCCTCTTTCTGGGACTCATGCCTCAGAACCTTGTAAGACAGTCCACGAATACTGTCTCACATTTCATTCCCAGAATTGGCACTGTCTTAGGGGCAGGAAATGTTCTGTGCTTGAGGTAGTTGACAGTAGCTGGGCTAGTACTAGGTAGCAAGAGTGTCTATAGCTTTCCCCTGCTGGTTAAATAGACAGCACTAGTAGGTTTGGTTCATCTGGGCAGTTTCCTCCCAGCCAGCCTCACTGTCCTCTTCAGAAATGTGACTACCTACCTGCAGGGTGTTGAGAGGAGCTGGCCTTATTTCAGAGGGCACTCAGGGCACCCTGCCACCTGCTGCACTGACAAGAGGAAAGCAAGTTATGAGGTCTTTCCTCAGACCTGCCAGAGAAAAATGAAACTTGAGAAAGATAGGCATTTCAGCTCAACAGCCCCTTGAGAATCTGGGTAAAGGTGTAAGAAGGGCAGGGACAATCTGGTGCATTGTGACAAGTTAGGGCATAGGTGTTCTTTTCCTGAGGTGGGTGCAGCCTGGAAGATGCAGGTTTCAGATGCATAGAGTACGTGTGTGGGGAGGACGGTCCGTTATGATTTCTCCTGGCATGTTGTATCCCTGGGTTGGTTTCTCCACTCCTCCTGCACCTTTCTACTCCCTGACTCAGGGGACAACTGACAATTAGGGAGGTTATGTTTCAATGTTCAGAAACGGAAAAACACAGGTGCTTTTTTGCCTGCAGGATGCCTGATAACCTTGCCTTGCCTGAGTAAATGCAAATGCGTGAGTGGCCAGCAGAGGGCAGTAATGACC